TCCTTACTCTCTGTGCTTTCCCCAGAAAGCGTATATTTTTTGTAGTTAGGCCTAGGTAATTATGCAAAACCCAGACTTATCTAAACAATAAAAATTGCCACAGTATGTAACTCAAGTTAAAATAACATTTTTTTACTCGTGAAACTCAATCAAATATTATGTCATTTTAAAAGACCCATTAGTATTAGCATATGGTAACATCAATGTATTTTTTAAAAAACATAGACAGCGACTTTCTCTCAGATCAGATCAGAAGTTGTTGATGACCTTTTGACCTGAATTCTGCAATACAAGATTTTCGGGTCGATTCAGTCGAGACGGCCCGAGTGGAGTTTCATGTAAATGTTTCGTACGGAAAAAAAAGTCGCGGGCCGCCTAACTAGGCCCTGGCCTAACCCCTTGACCTGCGGGCCTTCTCAGGCCCCTAGCCTAGGCCATAGCATCAATTCAGAATCTAAATGCCAATACGCTAACATTAAATTCTGTAATTAATTTTATAATGAATTTTATACAACAAAAATCCATTGCTTACCGATTACACAACAGGTCTTATCTTACTTTATTACTACAGGTCTTATTCTACTTACTCGATTGCAATTATAAAAGACTGCGAGATTGAGTATTTGGGTTTGACACCTTTGACCTATCATACTCCTAGCACTAATGAATACACATACACATAACATGGTATTTGACCGCTATCGTTAATCATTGTGAATATATAGGCTGTGTGAGGCTGTATGTTATTAGAAACGTCATGTTTTTTTAATACCCTTTCTATGGGACGCCAACTAGGTCAATTTTAATTTAAAATCTGCATAATAATACTAAATGTTGCTGTTTTCGTTATTCTGTAGAAAATCAGGGAGATCATAAAAACATATTTTTGAAATTTTGAGGGTATTAGACTAATACCTTAATACCCCTCCGCTACGCCCCTGATTATATAGGCCTATATATTTATTATATTAGATTTATACTTGATTTGATTTGAATATAATATGTATGATTTTTATAAAATACTGTAATTTTGTAGACATTTTTCTTACTTATCTCCATGTTATTAGGTTGCTTAAATTGTATCCACATGAAGTGAAGAATGAAGAATATTACATATTTGTTTAAATTAAATGAAATAGAAAAAAAATAAAAAGGTTAATAATACAGTTCACCCTGCAATTCGAGACCCCCTTAAAGAATTAGAGGGCGTGAACTATAAATGGGGTAGTCAAGAATTAGAGGGCGTGAACTGTAAATGAAGTAAAGTATCAAGGCTGTACCAATATAGTAAGATGAAAATTCTCCAGTGCCAACCCATCGGTACTTGCTGAAGTCTGGGTTATTATGTAGGCCGACATAAACGCTATCATTTACCCCTGAATCCTGAAGTCTTGTCGCAATCAAATCATTTTCACTGCCTGAGCTTACCACCACAAGATCCCCACCGTTCTGTTGACAGATTGTTCTTGCCGCAAACCAGCTCATTGACGTAGTAACTTGCAAATAGCATCTGTCATTCCATATTTCCCAAAGGGATGGTGGACAGTGAAATGCGGCTTTAATGATAGGATAACAAATGTTATTAAAATTATAGATTCTAAATTACAAACATTAACTACTTGCATTGAAATAATGTTATTACATTGCGGAAATAGACCTACTTTTTAAATGTACATGTTGGGAGGCTCTGTATGAATTTTTGGGCTATAGAGCGACATCTCTCGGTTATGTCTTTTCATACTTTCGTAGGATAGTTTGGTAAAATCTCATGAATTATTCATAATCATCATTATAGAACATATTTTACGCATGCGCTATTTTCAAGTCCGTGTCAGCCTCAATGACCAGCTGCTAGTGTTCGATTTTGTTAGAACGACACACGACGCACCATTCACTTTTATGGTCTCGGGATTCAGCCTTTTGTATGGGCCTTGTATTTGAATAAATGCAAGAAAAACAAATGATTGATGGTATACATATTCTGAAGTTTGATTTACATTTACTGTATTTAATAGCAGCAACTCCCTGTTAATAGTAGCTGTTCAATTAAAATGCGCTATTTTTTAACTATGTCGGCCTTAATGATCAGCTGCTCTGTATCGCGATTCAGCTGTTGTATGGTCCTTCTTATTCTTCTTCCATTTTAGTACAGACCACCGTGTCGGTGTATTTTCGTATACTGGATGAAGGCAGGGGCCGTGAGAGGGACCTGTATTCATCTCGAAAGATGTACTGGGTTCTTTATAGTGCACATGAGCCAATCGTGTACACTGGGCCTACGGTTATATTCCTTATCAGAGAAGACTTGCTCCACCGCCAGAGCCATAGGCGAACGTGTATTTGAATCAATGATAAAACAGGTGATTGATCTTATTTCTATTCATTTATTTCTTATATTTGCGGCAAAAAATAAATACAAACATCAAATTACAAATGAGCGGAAAACTAAACAATAGTTAAAAATTAAAAGAAAAAAGATACAACAGATCGCCCGGATAACCCATAAAAGTCACTAAATGGCAGCTTGTTTCCAAATGGGTTCACATAACGTTATACAAATCTGAAACCTATTTTTCAACGTCAAAAAGCAATAATTAAAACAGTCATCAATAAGGCCAAGTCAATTGCAACAAAGAAACAAAACCGATGTTTAACTAATGCAGTTTTCTTCTCGAAATTTAGCTTTGTCGAAAAGGTAATATTTTTGACTTATTGAAACGATACCTTTACTGTCAGTCTGCAACTACAATACTAAATATTTGTTCAATAAAAGTATAATAAATTCCACTATGTAAGCTAAGAAACATCGCTCGATGCTGCGAAGCTAAGACTTCGCAAATTATGCCCATAGAGCATGACTTTATAATCCGTCATGCAATATCATAAGTCTAAAATCAAATCATTTTTTAATTTGTTCTATTCTATTTTATTCTATTCATATTTATTTATATAGCGCCTTTCTTTGCAGATACGAAGCGCTTCGTGCTGTTTATTTTTAATTCATGTCTAACATTAGAAAATACATACACAACAAAATAAACAAGTTGCATAACATAAATAAATCACCTTCTTTCATTTACTTTAAAATATTTAGTAAGTTAAAGTTCTCGATAAAATAAGTCAGACTAAGTTGATATATCGGTAACAGGCTTAATGAAGGCTCTAATGTTACGTGATATAATAATATAAATAATATTGCATAACTCTGCAACTAATGTAACGCACACATCATTAAAGACCGCTGTGCTCACTAGACCCTTTGTTGAATTTAGGCCTATGTGCCCATCTCATCTTGACTGTAAACTTCTTATTAAAGAGCCGCTTTTTAATCAATTGTATCCGCTCAGTTCACCAAAATCTAATTTTAATCGAAAAATAGGTCCCTCGTGGTGAGCAGCTGATCATTGAGGCTGCCACAGACTTGGAAATAGCGCATGCGCAAAATATGTTCTGTAAGAATGATTGAACCTACGTTAAAAAGCGTCGATCAGTACTCTCAAAATTCTAAGGATTTAATAAGTACGTAATCAAATAATATTATAATAAAGCTTGAGCGTCTTATAAGTTGTTAAAAAAATTATGAACAATTCGAAGTGTTTTTACGGTTTATATTGACCCTTGGTAAAAGGACATTATTATATAGGACTAAATGAATAATCTACACGTTTACAAGGATTCACACTAGTTTGAGGGTGTACTGTACTACCTTTGCACTTTTGAAGTCGTGACGTGTAGGGATTAACTGGCAGTCAGAAAGCTTAAAAGCGACCTGGGAACATTTGCATAAATTGTACAATATACTTGATAATAACTTTTTTTCTTCAAATGCTTCAATTTCTTCAACACTTGAATGTTTTTATTTTTGTTTTATACTTTTAAGTGTAGTCTTGTATTCTGTTACATTTCTGCGAGCTTAGTTGCACAAGATACACAAATTCTGACCCTGTTATGGTAATATTGTGTATTTTTTTTTACTGTTTTGAATGTATTTTTATTTAATTTACATACGCTGATACAAAAGTGCTATCCAATAAATATATCAAATACCGTAGGCTATCGTTACCTCGCATTTGTTCTTATGTATTTCTTCATCTATGTTTATGCCCTTTTTCATTAATTCAGTTCGCCTATTTATTATGAAATTTCATCGCATTTGTTGACTCATAAAAATAGTTGAATTTGCTTGTAAGCATTGTTACACTGAAAATGGCAGTTGTACTATACACAACGTTCGTGTCGAGTTTTCTTTTTAAAGGTTGCAATCGGTATGAAAATACTTGACGTGTGTACGTGTACGTTGAACCGTGGAGATCTCTAGGTCCCCTGGCAGTGGCGGATCTAGGATTTAGCAATGGGGTTGGATAATGTGATTTACGAAGCACCAAGCCGGGTGGTGGGGTGGGAGGAGGAAGGCGGGGGAGGTGTGGTTTTGGCAAGGGCGCAGATCTGTTTCTAAAAGTGAAGGGGAGATTTCGTGAGTCCACACCCACCTCAGGCCACTATGGTTGGGCCAGAAGTTCGAACATTTTAGGAAATAGTTAGCTGTAGATGATCGGAAATGACACTCTATTATAGTAAAATTCATCGTCATCACATCACCATTATTATAGTAAAAAATGACGTTTTTCCAACGATTTGTGGCAACCAAATCTAATCAATATATGTGATGCACTTAGAAAATAAAACTTAAAAACATTGTTTATGATGTATTTACTTTTGTCCTACCTGCTTCACAGCCTTGTCCACACCTTAGGGCTGTGGTGGGAACATTTGGGGAAATACCTCTAGATTGCTTCTTCTTCTTCTTCTTCTTCTTCTTCTTCTTCTTCTTCTTATTATTATTATTATTATTATTATTATTATTATTATTATTATTATTATTATTATTATTATTATCATTATCATTATCATTATCATTATCATTATCATTATCATTATCATTATTATTATTAATATTATTATTAGTAATTCAGATGTTTGTGCCGGTTGTACAGGTCATCAATGCAGTTTATTTCAATAATTTTCAGGCATCTTCTTCACTTAAAACATTATTACATTGCGGAACACATTGCCCACTCCCTTAAAAATATTTGGGGGCGTATCCCCTGTCCCCCTTGATCATGGATTTTTGGAAGCGCGTCCACTTCCATTTGATTTTTTAATTAATAGACGTCTAGACGCTCTTGGTTGACATCTGGAAAAAGGCTTAAAATGAAAAGTGTGTGTTTTACGAGAGTATACATGTATATATATGCCACCCTATTCACCCCCTCTAGATCCGCCACTGCCTGTTTAACTTCGCTGCTCTCCTTGTGTTTCTGCTGGGGGCAGAAATACAAGATACGATAGCGCACCGTCTTTCAGATAAGACGTATAAGCCGTAAGTCCCGTGTGCAATATTGCCCGTGTGCATGTTAAAGAACACAGTACATTCTTCGGAAAAGAGTAGGGGATTGCCTCCCGGTGTACTGCCCAATTCACCACCAGAAGGACCCAATTGGAAAGAAATCATCGGACTTAGTGGGCTATCCTTGGTGTGATTCACACCTAATACTCATATCCTAGTCTATTATAGAAATGTATCGCCTGTCTGCTATTACACCGTCCATTTTTATCTTTGAGGTTAAAAAATAATGCCACGAGGACAAACATATTGCTAGGCCTACAAATTTATATTTCTGAAAGGGATATTTTCATACTAGATGCCACTCGAAAGTATGAGATCAATTTCCCAATAAAAGACACAGAATAACTTTTCGGAGATAAAAAAGAAAACTCTTGGAAAAATAACAATGTGTGTCCACAGATATTAAGATAAACTAGAGCACTGGAATAGCGTCTGTTATTATCAAAACATATTCTTGGTATAAAGGATCTAAAGATTGTAAACTTGCTTCGTAATTTCAGTAATTTTTCTATTCAGAAATCATTGCTTAACTTCAGTGATTATGATAACCGATGTTTTAATGTGATTATTCAGTATATTCTACTGAAATTTCAGAAATAAGATGTGGTAGCAATACTTACATTGTATACAAAGAATGTTCCACAGGAAGGTGAACCCATAAAGACAAGCACGTATTAGCATATGCAAAAGCATGGTTTAAACCTTTAGGCATAAAACACAAAGTCAATCGACAAAGACGTATTCTTTAATTAAAGCAAAACCTTATAAAGTAATTTGAGCAAATAGCAGAACGTCACAATTAATAGATCAACCACGTGATGTTGTTAGTATAAGGCGTGCATAATTATGTAACCCGTACGTACGCCTTATTAAGGCGTACGTACACCTTATGCCCGTACGTACGCCTTATACCCGTACATAAGCCTTATTATTACCCCTTTTACACTACAAGCAAAATTCCGGACATAACCCGGGATTTTCCAATACCCCGGTAAAAATCTCCGGAGTTGTGGTTAGTGTAAACGTCAAAAAGTCCGACTCGGGTTGCAAAACATTCCGGGATGGACGCGCAGGACGCATTCAGCGTAGGACAACCCGGGTGCATTCCGGAGTCGCCAGTGTAAACAGCACTGAATGTTTATTCCGGAATTAAGCCTTACCTTTCGCCTACCGCAACTGTGGTCAGGTAGGCCTAAACTTTGCTAACGGGCTAGGCCTAGACACTTGTCAAATCCGGTATAGACTTATTATCAAAACTGCTGATTCATTCGCATAATTTAAACACAATCTGCAGGAACATTGCTTCAACTCGAGCAAAGTTGAGGGCAGTATTTGAACCCGAGTTCGTTGCCGGTGTAAAATTGGAGCAACTCGGGATCAACCCGGATTTTTTCGTTCGATGTAAATGGGAAATGCAACCGGAATTAACACAGGTTTATTATGTAACTCGTACGTACGCCTTATTAAGTCGTACGTACCCTTAGTTTTCGCCGCACGACGTTAACCTTAACGTTAACGGATGACGTCATAATTTATTCATCTTGCGTTGCGGAGTAGGCCTCCTACGTTAATTTTAGGATTTTATGTGCTCTACGTACGTTAGTTACGGGTTTGCGCATACGTATTTCGATTTGTTTACAAAAGGGCCGGCGCTTACGTACAGGTTACAAGAGGCGTACGTGCGCCTTCGCCTTAATAAGGCGTACGTAGGCCGACGCCTTATTAAGTCGCACGTACGGGTTACATAAGGCCTACGTACGCCTTATTAAGGTGAAGGCGTACGTACGCCTTTTGTACCCCGTACGTACGCCTTAAAAAGAGGTACGTACGCCTTTATTAAGGCGAACGTACGTCTTATTAAGGCCGTACGTACGGGTTACATAAGGCGTACGTACGCCATATTAAATCGTACGTACGCCTTAATAACCCATAAAGCGTACGTACGACGTAATAAGACGTACGTACGGGTTAGGAAAATTTAAAAAAGAATGCACCATGTCCCCTAAACAGCTTCGTAGTTAAACTTTTTCCAAATGTTTCATTCCGATCAGTTGATCTGTTGTCGAAATATGTGGTCTGGGACATTTTCATTTATCTGGTCCTCAGATCCACACCATACTGCAGATCGTCACAAAAATTTAATATTTTTTTACAAGACTTTACAAAGTATTATAGAATGTTTCATGTAGACCCATTGGTTTTTTTAAAAGAGATATTTAGGTCTGGGTCCTCAAAAATTGAAAAGACCCTTAAATTTACACCCTTCACTGGACGCAGGGTTGCCGGAACGCCGCCCTCAGCGGCGAGTGCGAAGCACAACTCAGGGTAAAAAGTGGAACGTGAAATTTGGATATGGTTTTGTCAGATTTGCGAGAAAAACTTCAGCTACCCGTATTTCTCGACTGAGACGTCAGTGGGAACTGTAATTTGTATGGCAAGGAGATTGAGCAACCCTTCATTCATATTAAAGGAATTTACGCTCAGAAACTTTGTAGTTATTAACATTTTGGTTATAATAGAAAATATTCATTTTTTTGGTGACGTCACACTCACATTAGTTAGCATGCATACGTCATAAGCTAGATACGTCACCTTTTCCTGGTAAGGCAAACTTTCCCGGCGTGCTTTTTTCATGGATAAACAAACACCACTGCTTTGCACATGGATGCCTTGGTCAAGCCAGGGCTACAAGAGCCGCATTGTTAGCATTGTATAATACTTAAATAAGGTACCTCTGCAAATGAATTATTCTTAGTTATTATTTTTTTTCTTATCTTAATTTATTTCTTCCGAAAGTGTACTTTCTATCACATATAATTCAAATG